ACTTCTCACTGTGATCATTTTTCCCGCGCGTGTATTTCCAAGCGTAACACTTTGTTCGTCGAAACGTGCCACGTTCAATCTCCAATTCGCGTCCTTCAATCAAGAAAATGCGAAACGTTCGTATATGTGAATGCGCGCATATCCGCACGATGAAAGAGTCCGCTCCGAAAGTTCCGCGGATGATTTTGCAATCAGATCGCTTGAACGCTCCGATAAACGAACTGGATTCACGGTACGTTTAACCGCCAAACGCGTAACACGCGGCAAACAAGTTTTGCGAGCGAATGCACGGAACACCGTGCATTGCGGCGCAAGTCATGCCCACGCGATGGGGAAGCATGGGGAAGCATGGGGAAGCATGGGGAAGCATGGGGAAGCTGCGCCGCTTCTCCGCCGATGGAGGGTGCGGGTAATCTCTCAAGGCGCACTCCGGCGGACTCGGCGAGGGAAGAAATGTACATGTGAAGAAACATATCGCGGTTACTGGCACCGCGGGTTTTATGGTACCGTCTATCTCTACATATCGCGCCGGTTTTATATACGGCAGCGGTAGCGGTATATTCTTGAAATTATACGCAGTTTACGAGGAGACGGGTGATACAATGCGGCCGGTATACGCCGTAAAAACGGAGCCGAGTACAGTTTCGACTGACGCCAACATGGTGCGCGGAGAATTAATCACTCCCCTGTCTTAAATGACGTAGAGACGGAGGATTCGTAAGCGTTCGAGTTAATCCCGCGAAGCAACTATTTTACTGCCTCGCTTGCCGAGCACATAAAACTTATGAGAAACAATGAGAAGCGGAATAACGATTTAATCAACGTAGCGACGTCCCCTCCCCCCGCTATATTTACATTACAGCCGCATTACATCGATACATTATTGATGAGGAAGCTTCGGTAACTGGTCGCATAGCTACCAGATTCCGAAACTCTTCATCAAGTAATTAATATGCATGCGCATACATGTTGTTGACATAGCAACGTGTCGAAAAGAGCGACTGCTAATTGAAGTTAAACCATGAAGTTGACAAGTCGTGTCGTATAAATACCTAGATAATTAGAAAACAAAGCAAGTGTAGTTTGAACATTACAATGCGTTATTGTTTCTAAATTTACTTAACATAAATCATAAAATTCTTACTATTACAACGACCGACTTCTTATAACGTGTAGCAATCCCACAATATAGAAATTATTAAATGAATTATTAAAACACTGTAAATTAATAACAGTTTTTATAGGCTGCAGATTATCACAACATTTTATAATCATTGTAATATTGTTAAGAAGAATCTTTTTAATGAATTAAAATATATAAAATTAAATCGTTTTATCGATGAAATATTTCCAGATAATATTTTGTAGATAATATTTAGCCATACACATGCGCACACACACACACATACACATACACGCGCGCGCGCGCGCGCGCGCGCGCACGCACACACACACACACACATACACACACACACACACACACACACGGTCACATAAATTGATACAAAACGTAGCAAAGCAGAGTGGCAAATAAGAATTCAACAAAGAATCGAGAAAACGAGAAGAATGTTTTTCGCTTCGCGTAAACTTTTTAATTCCATTGCTGAAACTTCTTTAGGGCAGCGCGAGAGATTCTGACGAGGAAATGGACGTGCTGAAAGAGACACGTTCGTTTTTCCCCCGTGTGGAAGTGCGCTGACTGTTTTCATCGCGTTAAAACAGCGGAGAAACGTTTTCGCGCTTTATTACCGCCGGTGTTGCATGAAGCGCTGAGTACGCTCTCAAGGAGTACGTACACATATAGCCATACACTTGGATCGAAACGACGTATGTCTCGTAAAGCGCATTTTCTACTGAATTCTCAACTGCCTTCTTCTCTTCGCGAGTTATAATCCTCTGTCGCGTCGTCTTGAAAAGAACGTGCTTTGAACCTCTCGTGCGACTAAACGAATTCCTCCTTCGCAAATCTAGAGTATCTTTCAGTAACTTCAAACTTATTAATCGACACAAACAGGTGTCGCAGGTTAAACGTAAATACCGAATTTTCTCTCTCTCTCTTTTCGTTTGTTGCGTTTATTTTATTAAAATAAAAAAATATCTCTTTTTACATACATGGAAAGAACACTTTTGCTGAAATAAAAATCTAAAAATTTAGCCAGATATAAACAGATATAAAAATAATAATTGTCGAAGCGCCAAAATATTTATGTAGGGATATTTAAATTGATTGTGAGAATATAAAAAAATTTTTTGCAGTGTTATATTTAAACGTCCTACATGATGATCCAATTTCGATGACCCAGTAAAGTTATTTTCAGATCTGTATCTGTATCCAAATTTTTAAACATTTCAGTAAAATCATTCTTTCCATCTAGAATAAGAAATATACAAAATAGAGAATACATATAAAGAACAAAAATCACACAGGAAATGCATTCATCATAAACGTTTGCACGTTGGCACGTTAGACCGGATCGTACGGCGAACTATTTGTCACGGCGTAACTTAATTCTATCAATATGCTAGATGCCAATAATTTAAATCGAGAAGCTTCGCGCGATCGCGATATCTTAGTTTACTAATGGCGCGTCGTACACCGGATTCCTAGAGCACGAAGCGTTTATGGCGATCGTGCCAGGAATGCAGCGTATGCCCTACGAACAACATATTCCCCGGGATCGGTAGGGCGAATAGAAATCGGAAAGGTATACCGAGGCCACTGCGAGTTTGCCCAGCCACTCGATCGAAATACTTAAGGAACGATAGCTTCAGCCGGGATTCCGATATAACGCCGACGTTTCTCCGTACGAAGATTAATGTTCAAATTGAAAACGTTTCTTGAATTCCAAGTGAATCCGTCCTTAATCACTCGCTGCGAAATAATCGGAGTACGCTGATTCCTTCGCCCCGATAGTAAAGGGAGTGAGAGAGAAGATCCGATACGATTATCCCCGAAGTCGGCGACTCATTTACCCTCCTGTCACCATCCCTTCACACGATGTGATGGGATGGTAGATGTCTCGTGTACGTACCGTGTTTATCATGTACGATTGTATGTGTACATTAGTGGAATTGCTATTTGTTTGCCCGTCACTTAACAGATATTTCATCCGCTAAGATATTCTACTAGAGATTGAAGAAATTCTACGAGAAAATATTCCCGACTAATAGACGCTCCTTAAACTCATAAAGGAATTTCCCAAAATGTTTTCCAGCACGATCTAATTCAACTCTTCTGAGACTCGGCTAATTGTATTTCGCGAAAGATCACTTCGGTGATCTCTTTCGAGTGATCTCTTCTTTTCGACGAGGCGACGCACGCACGCACGCACGTCTTGCCGAAGTCTCGAATTTTAAAGCCTTTAGTACGTCCCGTGAAACGTTTCTCGCCGTGTGTTTTATCACTCGATCGTAAAGGTGGTGCTCGTTGGCGCTCCACGTAAATGTGAATGTGTAGATGAGAATGGTGTATCCCTACTGAGGCTTTTCGTGCCGCGATCCTGCAGCCGGGTCAGAAAGAAGAGGCATTCGTAGATTCAGTTGGGCGTGAATAGCGCGATATCGCGGCTTGGCCCGAAAAATCGATTCGGTCTAGACGCCGTCTTTGTGATACAGATTTCTGAATCGGCTATTGCCGCCGCTCGATTACGCGTAAAGAGCTTTATGGGCGTTCGTCCTTCCTGCACGACATATGTATCATCTTTTAAGTCCCGCGTTCTGTGTTAGGATAGAAAGCACATTTATCATAATATTTCCGTAAAAAGTTAAACAGCAATCTAATTTTGATGTATTTCCAATTATAAGGTCCAAAAAAACCATGTAATATCTTTTAAACGTGTATTTATCATGTTAATGTGTGTGTTTATTATGTTTATAAAATATTTTTCCCGTTGAATGCTACGTGAGAAATGCAGCTTTACAGATGAGAATTTACGAACAGTTTCTGTTATGTATTTTCGATATGTCCAAACCGAACGTCATTTAGACAGACACTCATTAGTGTCGCTGACAACCATTGACGTTATGCCCGTTTGAGTAATAATCTCTTGGTAGATACTATCAAATTAAGAACGTTGTCTTTGAATATGCAACTGATGCAACTTCGCATAATCATATTCAGCGGATAATTCTGCGTACTAAATTATTGTGTAAAATTTTATATATAGTCGAAAAAGTTGATGTTATCTATAACAGGACTTACGTGATGTAAAATTTAAATAAAATATAAAATATCTCATAAATTATTAATTTTTCGATAATCATTTCAATACCATTAAACATATAATGACGAAAGAGATTAATTTATGCAAAAAGGCATATATATATATATATACACATACACACACACACACACACACACACACACATATTTATGTTTTAGATCCTGCGTATGCAGAAATATATTGTTTAAAAATTATCTTTGCAAAAGAAACTTTTTTTGAAAAAGTGACTGTACTGTCTCAAGAGACCGTAATATAATTTTTTTATACGAGTCGAATAATTTTTATGTCTTCTTGTATTCGTATGCATCTCCGTCTTAGTAAGACGTGCACTCTTTGTTATTCAAGGAAGGCTATTCGCACTATTCTGAGAGCTTGGCCGTACTTTTTCGTAAACATGCTCCAGCACGCGCTGCATAGTACCCTCCCCTTGTCTGGTGGGCGAAGTTTAACTTTATCCGTGAATTTATTCAGACAAGAATCTCTCACGGCAAAGGTAGCCGTAAATATTTGTCAGTGAAATACGAAAATTTTTAATAAGAATAATAACGCCGTAGCGTTATCATGATTACATGCAAATTAAAGAGTTACAATTAAAAATATAATTCTATTTAATTCAAAGGGAATATTAACTTTGTAATATTTAAAATAATAAAAAAAATTGACATTTCGCTACGCGATTTTTTTTCTACGCTGCGAATTCAAGTCGCAAATATAACTAGTCGTTCGACGTAATGTCACATTCGATTTCACAGTTTTTCCTGTGACTGCTTGTTTCAGGAAGCTTCTTGTGATCTGTCAGGCGAGGAAACGGGATTACGGATGTGACGATACGATGACGCGAGATCCGCAAGAACGGGAAGATCATCCGTGCGCTGTAGATCGGCGGCGGATCCCGAGGATGGTCCTCCAGATCCTGTTCATTCAAAATTTCTTTACATTTAAAGCTGTTGCTCAGATAGCTGAATGTCCGTTGTTGGCAATAACTCCGAACTGTCCTTGCTATAACTTTGAAGACGGTCTCTTCTTGGAATGCGCTGGCGCTACGGAAGAGACTCTAAGAACCACACTGCAAGGCATGCTAAGTGCTACCGGTAAGTTAAATGAGAAGAGAGAGAAGTCAAGAATTCCAGACGATGTAATCGAGAACCGAAATTTGCGAAATTTAATTACATACATATAAAATGTATTTATAATATTGTAATATTGTGTAGAAGTAATATTTAAAAGTTTTTTTAAAAGTTATCTTTAAAGATGTGTTAAAGATCTATAATACTTTTATACGAATAAATATCTTTGTGAAGTGATTAGACTTATAACATACTTCATTTTAAATTAGATACGTATATTAATACCGTAGCGATAGTTTTAGAACTTTTTAGATCTAATATATTTATCGATATCTAAAAGTCAGGTTTATCGATTGACCTATTAAATTTACTCACACGTCACACTTCATTTAATGTTTCAATGTTGCACTACGTATATAGCGTGTGCGCGGTTTCTTATATTTTCATAGTGGTTTCAACATGAAGTGAATGATGTGGAGAAAGCCATTTTCTTTAATGCGCCGTATAAAACTAATGAAACGTGCAATCAGCCAAAGTTGCCAAACTCAAAGTTTATGTTATCGCGCGATTCGATGAAATTAATAGCTGTGCCCTTTACGATCGTTTTCAGGCGCGGGCACGATGGTACAGTCGTTGAGCGTTTACGAGCTCGACAAAAGCATCGAGGAACTGAAAGAAGACGCGTTCCCCCCTGGCTCGCAGATCAGACATCTTCAAATCTCGCATTCGTCTCTGCGGGAAGTAAGCGAGCGCGCCTTTATCAATCTGAAAGATAGCCTGGAATCCTTGGCACTGGTCTCCGGTCGTTTGCCCCACGTGCCGCAAAAATCACTAGCCGAACTACGGAAACTGGCCGCTCTGGATCTCGAAACGAATCTAATACAGGATCTTTCGTCTTACTGTTTCTACGGCTTAAAGCTAATGAAGCTGACACTAAAAGGGAATCAAATATCAAAAATTTCCGAATACGCGTTCGCGGGTCTCGAGGATAGCCTCAGCGATCTGGATCTGGCTGAGAACAAGTTGAAGCTGTTTCCCATGGCTCCCCTGAGAAGACTCGAGAGCCTGGCCTCGCTCAGGCTAGCGTGGAACGAGATATCGGAGCTACCCGACGACGGTTACAGCCTCCTCAGCTCTCTGCTCATTCTCGATCTGAGCAGCAACAATTTCGAGAAGCTGGCCGAGGACTGCTTTAGACCATGCCCCATCCTTCACACTCTATCCCTTTACTACAATTCCATCGAGAGCATTCACAAGGACGCCTTCGCGTCGTTGAAAGATCTAGAGTCGATCGATCTAAGCCATAACAAAATAGTCTTCCTCGACGTGGCGACATTCAAGGGGAACGAACGCCTGCGCACGATCGAGCTCAGTCATAACCACATTCACTACATTGGCGGCGTGTTCGCGCGATTGCCCGAACTGCGGGAACTTTATCTCGCGGAAAACAATATCCTGGAGATCCCGGGAGATGCGTTCGCCGGCAGCGTCAGCCTCGCGGTGGTGTATCTCCAGCAGAATGCCATCCGTAGAATCGACGCCAAGGGTCTCACGAGTCTCACGCAGCTGGCGCAATTGCATCTGAGTAACAACTACATCGAGAAAGTGCCGCGGGAATTCCTCGAGCACTGCGAGAATCTCTCGTCGCTCTCCCTGGACGGTAACAAGATCCGCGAGTTGCAACCGGGCACATTTCTCAAGCTGCATCAATTGCGCGAACTGCGGCTGCAGGATAATCATATTACGGAGGTGAAGCGCGGCGTTTTCACGCCACTGCCGGCGCTCCTCGAGCTACATCTGCAAAACAACGCCATTACCTCCATGGAGACCGGCGCGCTGAGAACGCTGAATAGCCTCCAGCACGTTAATCTTCAGGGCAATCAGTTGACCATGCTCGGCGACGTCTTTCAACTGTCCGCCTCGGAGTCGTCTTCCGGCGGAAGCTCTTTGGTGTCTATTCAGTTGGACAGCAACGGCTTGGCCGTACTACACAATGACTCCCTGCGCGGTCAGGCATCCGTCAGAATCATGTGGCTGGGTCACAACAAGCTGACACACCTGCAAGCTCCTCTCTTCAGAGATCTTCTCTTGGTCGAACGCCTTTATCTGACGAACAATTCCATATCCAAGATCGAGGATGCCGCTTTTCAGCCGATGCAGGCTTTAAAATTTCTCGAGCTCAGCATGAATAAACTGAGTCACGTAACGGCGAGAACATTCTCGGAGCTGCACGAACTCGAGGAACTGTATTTGCAGGATAACGGCTTGAGACGACTCGATCCTTACGCGTTGACGGCCCTTAAGAAGCTCCGAGTGCTGGACCTGGCGAATAATTATCTCACCGTTTTGCAAGACGCGATTTTTCAGGAAGATCTGCCAATTAGAACGTTGAATCTGAAGAACTGCTCGATAACCACGGTAGAGAACGGTGCCTTTCGCGGGCTTAACAATTTGTTCGATCTCAACTTGGACGATAATCTCCTCACGGCGACGGCGCTGATGCGTCTGCACGTTCCCGGTCTTCGAACACTCGCGGCGTCCGGCAATAATTTCAGTCAGATCACGGAGCACTGTTTCAACGGATTGCCTTCCCTGCAGGAGCTGTTCCTGGACGGCTCGCAGATAAGTCAACTGCCGGAAGCCATCTTTGTGCTAAACCGAAATCTGGCGCGTCTACACTTGAATCACAATTACCTGCGTGCTCTGCCACCAGGCATCTTCGACAGATTGCTGTCGCTGCGAGAGATACATCTGGATCACAATCGATTCCAGGATATTCCGTACTCGGCACTCGCGAGTGCTCTTAATCTTGAAATTCTCACGCTGTCGACCAACGAGATCCTCAACGTCGACGTGGCCAGTTTCGCCAGCCTGAAGCATCTGAGAGAATTGGATCTGAGCCACAATAAAATCGAGACGATGTCCGGATTCGCGATGGCCAATCTGTCGCGCTTGATATCCGTGGATCTCAGCCACAATAACTTGAACGCCCTACCGGCGAACTTTTTCGCCCACTCGTCTTTGTTGCGAAGGGTGGATTTGTCGGAGAATAAATTCCGACAGATACCGGCGGTGGCTCTCTCGGGTCAAAATCTTCCCGGTCTGGCCTGGCTTAATCTCACGCGGAATCCTTTAAACAGAATCCACGATCTGCCATCGGAAGCGATGTACCCTATTCTTCAGGAAGTACATATATCTGGCACAAATCTGAGCATAGTAACTTCGCAAGACTTCGAAGCTTTCCCGGCGCTGTTGCATCTTTATCTAGGTCAAAATTGTATTCTACGAGTATCGCCGGGCGCCTTTCGCAGTCTTCCGAATTTGCTTACTCTTCATCTCGGCATGAACAGCTTGGAGATACTGCCGAAAGAGAGACTCCAGGGAATGGAGCATTTACGGATACTCAATTTAACGCACAATCGCCTGAAAGAACTGGAGGAGTTCCCGGAGGATCTCAAGTCTCTTCAAATACTGGACTTGTCTTACAACCAGATCGGCATCGTCGGCAAAGTAACGTTCAAAAATTTAATTAGCCTGGTGGAACTGCATCTTTATGGTAACTGGATAAACGCCATCTCCAGCGAGGCATTCAGACCTCTGAAGAAGTTACGTCTACTTGACTTGAGTAGGAATTACCTGGAGAATCTGCCGCTGAACGCTTTTCGGCCACTCGAGACGCAAATAAGAAGCCTGCGAGCTGAAGGTAAGCTTAAACTTAAAAATGCCTAGTATTTATAATTAATTAATTTCGCACTCGCACACTTTTGTTCGCCCTTTCTCGAGAGCAGTGACACGGCTGCGGAATTTGAATATAAGTGGATGAGAATACGATATAGAAAATTTTCTCTCGGCTATCCCAGCGGCTATCGATCCGAATAAAGTTGCTATACTACTTGGAAATCAATCGTATCGCTAGTCACGTATCACCATATCTCAAATCAATATTCAATACTGAAACAATCTAACAAGTTCGCATAACTTCATCTCATTTCAAATTCACGAACTTGAATCTCTCATGGTATCTTAATGTTTCTCAGAAACTTACTTAAAATATAATATTTAGGGCTATATACCTTTTTATAAAGTACAAAAAAATTCAACGTAGTACATATTATCATAAGGCACGAAATATTATCCCATTAATCCGTTTATTCATGAATCCCATAGATATATTTTATGCTAATTAGAAAGTACTGAAGCAGAATTATAAAATTTAATTATCGTTAATGTATGAGGTTTATAATTAATTTTAGTCAATTACAACACGAGAGGGAATAAATGAGACTTATATTTATGATTATTCTTATATCATACATGAACTTTTAATTACATTTGAATTAAATTTTCATTGCGAATAACTGGAATGAATAGTTTCTCACAGTATCGAGCAACTGTAACTCATAAAATATGTTTAAAAATTTATTTTTATATTAAATTCATACAACCTATAAATACTGTCTTGCTCAATGAATAACTTAATTTATTATCGAGTTACATAACTTCAGAATTATTCAAGCATTGTTTTTAATATATAATAAAAATATGCTGATATCTCATATTTAAATATATACTCGGCATTATTATCATATTTTTACTATAAATAATTAAATAAGCTGTTTCAATATCGACTCATTATCAATATTTTTAGAGTTGTTGAATTTCTAAGTCGACTTTTATAAATAGAACATCGCGAACAATAGCGAATTTTGTCCTATTCTCATTGGCAGAGAACCCTTTACATTGTGGCTGCGAATCCCAAGAATTGTGGGAATGGTTGAGAGACCATCAGAAATTGGTGAGTGGAGTCGGTGGTGGTCGTAGCCGCGGAAGAAATGGTGTCGGAGTCGGTGACGTCGAGGGCGGTTTGTTAAGATGCGAGCAACCACCCGAGCTCCGGGGTCTCGTCTTCCTCGATCTTGACCCCCACGCTTTCTGTTCCGCTCCGCTGGTCCTGAAACTCGCAATTCAGGACATTCAGCCCTTCTCCGTTCTCGTATCGTGGCAGAGCAGGAATCATTCCGGTCTTCACGGATACCAAGTGGCGTATCATGCCTTGGACAACGTCGACGAGGTAAGAGTTTTTATTATTGTGTGAGAAAAGTCGTAACCTTACGCTACGTTGAATAAAGTGAACAGAAAGGAAATGTCAAATTAAAAAAAAAAAAAAAAAAGAACTTTGCACTGTCTAGCAATTTATGAGACTAACGTTTCTTTACTAAATTACATATTTTCAAGACCTTTCTTTTATTATCATTATTTCAAACAATATTAATAAAATTGTTGTAATAAGTTACAACAATTGTTGTAATAAGTCAATATTATTATTCTATAAATTTACTTTTTATTTAATCATCAGTATTTATTCCGTTAATAATAATTTCATATATATATCATATTTTCTCACAGAATGTAGCACATATTGAAAATAATATGTTAAACAGACACATGCACGTGAAAATTATTTCTAAAAAAAAATCGTGCTGCATCATTTCTCCGAACAATCATTTCTTATTTATTCGGCGCAGAGGCAAGAAGCCCGCGCATGTTGATGGCGAAACATTTCCGTCGGCGTTTCAGGTACGGGGTAAGCTGCTGGATCCAAAGGCACGTTCGGTGAGATTGACAAAGTTGGCATCTGACACGCGCTACCTGATCTGCGTACTTGGTTTGGGCAGTTGGGGTACACCGATTCCGGAAGACATCGGCTCCTGGCAATGGAACGCCTCGCATGATGACGTGATCGAGGGATCCTCGTTGCCCGTGATGGTGAACTCGCCTACGAGCCGGTGCACCGAGGTCAGAACTTTGGACGCGCCTGATTCGATAGTGGGTGACGGCACGGTGAGCGACAGGGGCAGTTTGGCGAATATTCTCACGAGACGGCTGGGCTTGATCGTGGGCAGTTGCATGGGCTTCGTCGTCTTCGTGGTGTTGATCTCCGTTCTGGGCTATATGAAAATGAAGAAGCAGAGAGCGACGGTCAAGCGGGATCAGCCGTTGTCCTCGAATCCCCCGGAGTATATGTCCTACAGGCACTTCTCGTTGCAAAGTGGCGACAGAGCGGAGAACACCTGTCCGAGTTTCATCAGCAACATCGGGCCTTCGCCCGTCAGCTCGTAGCAGAAGGCGAAGGAGTCTCGTAAAGAGGCCATTCAACATGACATCGAGATGAAAACAGTGTCGACTTGCACCAATATCTACAGCTAATAATCACGCGGCGCGAGAAGACGACATGTCGTGTTGACGACGCTTCCGGTGTCATCGGAAAGAGTGACGAGAAAAACGGGATAGTCGCGTGTGATCTTTGGATCTTCGAACCTCTAACACGCGTTTCAAATAATCGAATGTCCATCGATTATGTCGAACACGTCATGGAACGATAGTTCGTGACGATCGTTCGTGACTCTATTTCGATCGTCACGTCTCGACATAATTTTTTTACCTTTTGAACGTGATCCACGAAAGAAACGCCATTGAATAGCGAAATAATCAAAACAGCACTATCAGAAAATTTTTTAATCCACAACAGCACTTCGACGCGGAAGATCTTTTTGTATTATATACACCGCCGAACATGATCGCGATGTCAATATTTTCGCGATTAAGCTTGTGTATGAAAGAAGGAATTCATCGAAAGAAACGTAACAAGCAAAGTGCCAAAAATACATGTTTTTGCAAATAATTTAAGCCTCTCCATTCGCGATTGTTTGGGTGTGAAAGCACGACTTCCACTATGAAAACGAGTAATTTAATCTCGTCGTAGGCAAGAATTATTAGCAAATTTCAATGTGCGCGACTTAGGCACGTCACAGCATTTAAATTTTCGTGCCAAAAGACTGGAAAATATTCTCGCAAGAAATTCAAGGATTCCCCGCGAGAAAATCAAACGTACACGATAAATTTAACATTTTGACAGGGGATTTTACCGGAGTGAATTATTCTTTATAGTTTTCCTTCCTTTTTTACGACGTATACCGCGGGAAAAACTACCGCCGGACGTTTAACGGCGAATACATTTCCCATTGCTTTACGAAACAAGCAACTGAGCAACGACTATCGAAACTCTCACTCACGAAACTTCGAATCTCTCGTACGAAGACTGATTTTTTACGCCATTTAAAATTTCCTCCATAATTCCGAGACTCCTCTGCGTATCGTACTCTTGGCGCGACACTCTTTTGTAAATACGATGTAACGTGAAAGATCGCCGGCATAACGATGTCCATGCAGATCCGTGTATCCGTGAAATTCGTCTTTATAGTGCTGCGCAAGCAATATTACACTTATCCGTATCGATAGTCTCTAATGATCAGCACTAATGTAATTATTATAAGAATAAATGCGATTCCAGCGTGAAGGACGTCGCATCCTTATGACATCGCGATAGAAAAGATTTTACGAACGATCGTGATCTAGCCTCTTTTGATAATATCACGATAATATTACGAGGCGGATACATCTTGTGACATTCGAGCGAGCACATTCGACCTCTTGAATTGTGAAAGACTAAGTGTAATTCCTGCCAAAAGAAAAGAAGAAGAAATAATCGATTCCAAGTTGCCAAATGTTAACTGTGTATCGAATATCGTGAAAAAAAATCGGTTTATTGTATATAGATAGAAGATATGTATACACATAGCATTCTTTATTATAGCCTAGGTTTTCGGTAATAAAAGTATCCCACAAAGCTGTAAATTGATTATTTCAATTATAATTCATGTAACTTCTTCCTCGATCCTTTATTAAGAAAAATAAATTAACAATTATTAATTTTTATTTTAATTTTTACTAAAATAATCAACGCGAAGGGATCAGGAAGCGCAGAGAGATCATAATAACAATAAAAAATGACTATTTGTTACAATCTGATTCAACTTTATCGCGGCGCGATTATTTATTCGTTTTGTGCTAAGATTACGTGTGAAACGTTTCATTTATGATTCAACTGCCATTCCAGCCAAATGGAATTTCCTAGCATATCTCCGTTAAGGCGATCCGTTAAGTCATCTCACACGACTAATTAATTAATTATAATGGCAGCTTAGACCGGACAGCTTAGAACGCGTCTGTGGTTCGCATAGATTTCGTAATTAACTCGAGTCTATCCCTGAGCGTCAATCAGTTCCGATCTGATACGTCGAAGGAGGATATAGCTGCAAGGAGATATATCTTCTAATAATACATGCTTCAATCCAAGTCTGTTTTGGAGCTGCATAATATCACAGATGACTTAGTCCCGCGTGGCAGGTAAGTGAATATAAAAACATCTTAAAGATTAGTCGAGTTTCATCATTTTTATGGACATATACAAATACACGTAGATAAAATATTTTCAATCAATTGTTAATTTGTCCGCAATCTCTCGAATGTATGTGATAGCTTTTAAATTGATATATAAATATATCAGCATCTCTTCATTTTCGTGATTGTTATACACTCCATGCTTTTTCCATCGCGCATATAAAATAAATCAAAATGGAACGCACACACGCATACACGTATTGCATTAATTTTTTTTAATATAAAATTTCTTTATGTAATGTTAATTAATGTTAATTAAAATAATGTAAAAAAAAAGTATACTTTTGGTCCAATAAAATATGAAATAAATATAATTTTGGATAAAATTACAAAGTTTACGTAAAAAATATCGAAAGCTGTGAGAGATTAATTAAGCATAACTGTATCGGAACTGCTGTAACGACGTCAACGACCGTTCCTCGAGAGGGAATTAAAGCAGCAATTTAAAATAAGATCGCTACTGAGTAAATTTAATGAGAGTACAACAAGAAGAAATGCAACAAGAAAGGTCAGTGTGATACGTCGAGAGATGCGGAGGCATGCTGAGCAGCGCAATTATGAGCACTAATTAATTCCACGGGTTTCGTCTAACCGTCGCGTGTCGTTAATTTACCTCGGTGTACCTCGGCCATAAATATATGTTGCGATCGTCCAGAATTTCCGCTTATTTTATAATCATATTTCCGCGATCTCATGAAGGAAGGCCAGTGCATTTTTGCGGCAGTATGAAATTTACTCGCACTATTCTGTGAAGGTAATATTCAAATTAGAGCCACATCTTTGCAGTGACAAAACTTTCTTTCTCTTTTTCTTTTCTTCCCTCTTTAGCGGAAAGTATATAAGATAGTGGCATAATTAACAAAAATATGCATGACAAAGTTCTTCTTTGAAAGAAAGAAGAGAGGACAATGCCGAACGTAATTAAGGGAAACTAAGCAAAAACACACACCTTAATATTGAGAAGTGGATGGATCATTTTCATATTTATATTATGTTTTACACATTTAAAATATATTAATCTTTTGTGTTAATTCCATTGGTTTTATGCTATTCATTTATGCTGATTATGCTCGTACATTATCAATTTTATAAAATATTCCATTGCATGATTTTATAAGAAATCAAAATAAATTCACGTTCTATCAATTAAATAATTATGCTTCTAATTATGCGTTTGTAAGAAAAGAAGAAGATAAATAGCGTACATTTCGATTTACAATGTCAAAGTGGAATATGAAGAAAGAATAGTAGTGAAGATACAATAAAGCGACAGCGCGATTTGTTCGAGAATAACTGACATTATTCTTTGGAATAATGTCAGTTTTTCTCCAAAGTAGATTCTAGATACGCACCGACAGTTATATTTCTCAAGTGTTAAAAAAAACGACGCTATAAATTAAACGAGCTATTATGAAACATCAACTGTGTGTAATAAGCTATGTTTCACGGAAACTACTTTTCCCGCTTTTCATTCGCCCGACCTTTGCACGAGCTCGCTCGCGAGTACTTTTATTTGCAACGCGTAATATCCTTCAGTCTTCCCGCACGAGCTCTCGATGAAAATCTTCTAGTGGATGGACATTACGCATTACGCTAAGTTTAACCGCTGTAATTTAATTATTCAGAGCAACTGTCTTAAGCACTTCACGCAAAGTATAGGCAGAGACGAAGGGCCTGACGACTTTAAATCTTTCGGAATAGAGTCGGGAAAGTTACGCATCGGAACGGTACGGATAATAACCGAAACTCGGGAACAAATATCCCCAAACCGAGCGTGAAAATATCCGACCCGTTAATGAACCAAGACGTCAGTTTACAAACGGAACGGCGGCGGTGTTTTGCTTCCGAAGCGTACCTTCCGCATGACAAACAGCCGCGGTCGAGGGTTCTTCTGCCCGAGCGGCAACTCCTGAGCGCACATATTGTTAATCTTTCGCTGTGCACACGGGACCAACACGGGGCGTTGCAGTTTCCAAGTGCAACTATTAATAAGGCGCGCCCGTTAGACCGTAAATTACACTGGTAGCTAGGACGGCACGGATCCGGTACGAACATCATGACGCGGAACTAGCATAGCGGTCCCGTACCACCACGGGAAAACTTGGTGCGGGAGCAATTGTATTAGAGCCACGGTGTCTATACATCCGCCCGCGAGTCCGCGTTGCACGTTCCATTGTACGCGTACACGCGGATTATACGGCCGAGCAAGGCGGCTCCCTTGTAACGGGAAGACGCAATTGCGGACCGAGAAATTATGCATGCGATGAAAATCCCGTGTTTTCACCCCCCTCCCCCCCCCTCCCTCCCTCTTCACCCCGTCCAGCATCCGCGCGGCTTCTCTCGCCCTGGCGATCGTGTTCCCGCTGCTACCGCTGGCTCTTCGCCCGACACACAATACACCCCCGGGGGTGAGATGCACCCCGCGCGCGCGCGCGCGCGCGCGA